CCCCTGTCCCTCCCTCTAATAACAGAGCACTACATAGACAACAGTGGTCATATCATGATGAAATTACCTTCATTTGATAGGAAATTCAATTTCCTTTCCAATGGTATATAATTTGACATACTTTCTGTGGTATTTTATATTCTATGGTAAATCATACTAACCATGGGTGCCGTGAAGGCGAAAATGGTCAAAATACCAAGAACTGCTGAGAGTTAAACCGATGTTGGGACTGGTTCTTTATTGTAGGCACCTTATTGTGACCTCCTTTATAAATTGATGGAACATATGTTTATGTATACATTTAGTGGTCAGGGCAGGAGTTAATGTAGCCTTTTACTCATGTAAATAATGTGTTCAATTCCGTTAATTGACTTGGCATCATATGACATTGGAGAAGGAAGTACATTAGTGACGTCAAGGGAATATGCTGGGGAATGTTTATTATTATATTTGTTTGAGCTATACTTGTCCTTGACTTTGCAAAATGGTTTTAAAGTTGTACGAAAGTTTCTATAAAAATGAAAGGTAGGGAAATTATCTTTTTTAAATGAAAAATATAGTTGGAGGCCAGTTAAGGAATATCCCATAATTACACTAAAGAATCATGTTAAGAATAAGTTTTTACGGAATAATTGATTCTCCGTCTTTTTCCTGTTAGAGTGCAACTGATGACTGCAGCAGATTCCTTTTTGACTCTAAGAGTTACTTGACATCTCTGTTTCTGCGACTTCTGTTTCTTTTTTCTTCTTCTGTTTAAGAATGTATGCTGTATGATCTGTGATGTTAGTTGTTTTCGTTATCTATGAGTTAACTGTTACAGGATTATCATTAGCTGTCCCCGGCTCAATAGATGGACTGTGCTGCTTATAGACTGTGATTCTTTGTCATCTCTGTGGGTGATCAGAGGGTGGCACTGCTAGGTCCTGCTTCTTCTTTGCAGCTTCAGTCTTTTTTGTTTGTTTGTTTTGTTTTAGTAAGAGTTTTATGGCACTTGCAGCACAATTAGGTCAATTAAGTGCTGAAGATTGGATGTGTTACAAGTGAGTAATAAACACAGAAAAGAAGGACAGATATGGATGATAGATGTTTGATCAAAATCTGTCTGATTTGCTTCCCCCCAGCTCTAAACTTCCTTTACGATGCTGATGTGCTTCTCCAAAACTCTACTTTCTTTTGCCTACCACTTTAAGATAAAAAACTGTTTCTGTGTGGCTTCCCTTTGATTCAGACAAACCATTCCATTGCCAGGCAGATGCGGTGATATCTCTCATCAAACCTTTACCCGGTGACAGACCGTCCACTCAAGACTTGCTGAGCAGTCAGCTCTTTCTCTCTCAAGACCAGGTCAGTTTTGGTGTGTGTGTATGTGTGGGGAAATTTTGTGTGTGTTGAATTTGAAGATGGCAGGAGATGCAACACAGGTGAAGTCAAAGGCATGCTCTTTATCCCCACCATTATTTTATTTATTTATTCATTTTTGTGATTTATCATCATCGTCATCATCATCTTATTGTTATTATTATTATTATTATTACTACTACTGTTTGCATCATCATCATCGTCATCGTCATCGTCATCATCATCATCATTATTATTATTATTATTATAATGATCATTTTTATTGTTTTTGTTATTATAATTTTCATAATTATCTTTCTCTTTCCCTGTGTCTTCCTACAGCAAGTGACGCTTTTACAGCAGACTGTTATGAAGCTGAAAGAGGAGATGGAGCAGCTGCGGCGAGACGTGAGGGACAGAGACAAGACAATTGCTCAACTACACAGAGAGCTGGCCAGTGCCTTAAGCCCAGACGAGCTATAACTACAGTCGACTCCACTTGTGTTGAACTCGTTTGAGTTGTTCTTCGGTTGAGTTGATCTTTTTCCTGGGTCCCAGCATCTCTTTTTCTTCTTTACAGGTCCCAACTGTTAATTTGAACTTTGGACTGGTTAATTTTTTTTTTCACTCCCACGAGGACATCAACTCATCCATAGATGGCTGTACGAGGGGGGGTTCAATAAGTTTTTAGTCTGGAATCATGGTAGAGAAATGAAATTTTGCCTGCCTTCACAACACACTATGTAAATTTTCGCGAAAATCTGACAATAAATCTGACACTAATCAGGGTGTTCAATGACACCATGCACTAAAAAAAATAGTTTTTTTTTCTTTCTGAAACTGTACCATGGAGCCTGTTGAATACCGCTTAGTTATCATGTTTTTGCTCTTGCAAGGAAAATCCCCTTTAGACATTTTTCAGGAAATGGTCCAAGTTTATGGTGACAAATGTCCTCGTTATTGTTCTGTGACATTCGCCTACTGGGTAAGAAAATTCAAATCTGGATTCATGTCGGTGATGGATGAAGATTGTGAAGGACGCCCATCCTTTGTGGTAACTAAAGAGAATGTATCCATACTGAAGAAACTGGTTCTACTAGGCTGACGTATAACTGTTAAACAGTTCTCAAGTGAAAGGACAATCAACGTAGGATCAATTGAAACGATTCTCCATGACCATCTTAACATGAATAAGGTGTCTGCGAGGAGGGTACCCCGCCTTTTGACAAGTGAGCAAAAGAAGCAGTGGGTAGAGTCCTGCAAAACTTTCCTTTGAATTTAGCCCAAGGACACAAATTTCTTTAAAAATATGGTAACTATGCATTTAACATCGATTTATCATTTTGATTCTGAGCACAAAATGTCCTCCATGCAATGGAAACCCCTTTGTCTCCCTCACCGAAGAAGGGAAAGGTAACACCATCAAGTGGAAAGGTCATGCTGTCGTGTTCAGGGATTGTGAAGGTATCATCATGACTGACTACCTGGAAAATGGAAAAACACTGTCACAGGAGACTACTACTACGGTTTGTTTATACAACTGCAGTTTTAATTGGTGAGAAAAAAGCGTTAAATAGTCCGTAACGGGGTTCTCCTACTACATGACAATGCCCTTGCCCACAGGGCACAACAAGCAGTCCAGACAGCAGAACAGTGCGGCTTTGAAATCCTGCCACACCCAGCTTATTCACCAGACCTAGCCCCCTCTGACTTTTTTCTGTTTCCTAATCTTAAAAAGTCTCTCAAGGAATGTCGTTTCCATGACAACGAGGGCGCCATTGAAGCTTTTGAAGACTAGTTAGGGGCTCATTCTGGGTCATTTTTCTTTCAAGGATTTTTGAAGGTCAAAGAGAGGTGGCAGAAATGTGTTACCCTGCATGGTGACTATGTAGAGAAATAAAAGTATGTGTGCCAAGTTACAAAGCTCCATCTTTATTCCTTCATATTTAGACTAAAGACTTTTTCACCCCCCTTGTACAAGCTTTATGATTCCCATTTGTTGTTATCAGTATTCAAAAATTTATTTTGGGGGCTTATTTGTAACTCCTTGCCTGCCAATGGTCCTGAATTTTCCAGGACTGTCCTGGATTTGGCAAGCAGGAATTTGAGAGCCTTATAATACGCATTACTCCAAAACCAGTCCCGCTTGTTGTAATTTTATTTGTTATTGTTTAATGTGATGTTGTAATGTTGGGTGCCCCTGACTGGGTTTTGAAGAAAGTGTCAAGCCTTTAATTCACTACTTTTTCTTTTTTCTTCTTCTACTTATTCCTGATGGTTGGGGATTAGCGGGTGCACTGATGTAATTTGCTTCTTCTTTCGGACTATTGTCCTTATCCTTCCTCCTCTTTTTGTTTGTATGTTACTCTCTAGTAACACTTCTAGTCTTCGACACTTATATGATCTGGTCTTGTTGCGAGTGCTGTAAAACTTTTACTAAAACTAAAACTAAAGTAATATTCCTGACAGGAAATGAAAATTGCTTTTGTTGCAGAACTGAAAATATGTTGGTTTTTGCTCTGAATTTGTACTCACCCCTCCATGTGCACTTATGTTCAATAAAAATAGATGCCTAATATTAACTACAGAAGTGCATTATATCTGTGAACAATACACAAGCTGTCACATGAGGTGTTCTGGACTGTGGGCTGTATGCATTTTCTTTTGTATATTTTATCTAAGGCCTTAAACTCGTGGAATAAAATAAATGTTCAAATTCAACATTCTCTCTTGGTCTCAGGGGTAATCAACAATACGTTTTCCTACCCACAATTCAACTGGTTTTTATTTATGACTTCTTTTTCAACTTATTACTATTATGACCCTTTTAAAAGGCTTTTATACCCCCGGGGCAGTACCACTGACTGTAGTGTCTTAAGGCCATTCCCAAAGGGGGGACATTTCTCGTTCAAGCACAGTAGAATTGTAAATGGGCTGATTCATGTCATGCTCATAACTGTGCCTGATCTACAACAGGGAACTGCTGCTTTTTCTTTCCTAATACTTACTATTGTCATTTTCTTCTACTTATTTTGTATGTTTGTCACTCTCTTGTGACCTGCTATTTCCGGGGTGCCTTGATAGTTGAAGCAGACCTTGTGCTGTTGAAGCTAGAGAGGTGAGCAGAGTAAGTCTGATTCCCTGTGAAGACTTCTCTGTTGACACCCACCCCTTGGCGCTCATATGACCTTATGCAGTTGTGAGTGCCGTAAAACCCTCTACTATAAAAAAAAAGGCTTTTAAATTAATTAATTTTTCATTGGTTTCTTTCTCAAAAAGCCTGGTTGCTCTAACTCACTTCTTACCTCCCATGAGTCAAGTCATTTATTTAAAGATTGAAGGAAAAAACAAGTGTATCTACTGACTGTTCATACTCAAGCTTGAGATGAAACTGGTTGCTTTGGTGTATGAGGCAAATACTTTTCCACTTGACCAACATAGTCCATTCTTTAAAAAAAACGTTTTTCTAATTAACAGACATTATTTATTGAAACTGACCCCTTATCGTTTTTTCACAGTTGCCATTTGTTTTTTACAGAATGTGTAGAGAAATGTCTCGAACGGCCAGTTATAAAGTTACAGCATCAGAATCATTTGTTTGGGGAAAATCTTTTCTCTCGTTCGTTAATGGTAATGAAGTCATGATGAAATGATGTGAAGAAGGCTCAGAAGGTTTTTGGTAGCCATTGAGAGCCATTGCGAAAAAATGTTGCCCGCTACAGTTGTTTTCTCTGACTTAGTCTTTCATGTTCTTGTCTTTCAACTTAAAGCAAGAAACTAGTAGTTCAGTACGGTGTGTTGAATCAGCTAAATATACATGTCTGGGCTGATGACTCTTTGAGTGAGGGAAATTGCAGTTTTGCTATCATCAAACTGTACTAGGATGCATTAGAAAATATGGAACCCTCAAATTCCACATCAGTGTTTGCCAACCTTTCCTTTTTATAAACAATGCCCACTTTCGTCACATTTAAGAGACTAAAGTTTTTGTACTACCACCTACCTGTATTTCCAAGTTGGGCTTTAAGTTTAAGTATAAACCAGTCACAACCTGGGTAATCCCCACTGCCCACCAAAATTACCAAATTGCAAATTGTCCTATGTTGGCAAGCACTGTTCCGAGTGATAAGTTTGGATGTGAGAGAATAAGCAATTCTGTGTTACTTAAGGAAGCATTTCAGTTGCCATATCTTGTCTCCAACACCCCCCCCCCCCCTCCCTCGGGACGGTGCTACTGACTGAAGTGTCTTTAGGCCATTCCCAAAGGAGGGACTTTGACCTGTTCTTATGCACAGTAGAATTGTAATTGTAAATGGGCTGATTCATCGATGTCATGCTCATAAGTGTGCCTGACCGGCAACAGGGATCTGCTGCTTTTTCTGTTCTAATCCTTTCTATTGTCATTTTCCTCTACTTCTTTTGTATGTTTGTCACGCTGTTGTGACCCGCTATTTCCTTGATAGTCGAAGCAGACTGTGTGTTGTTGAAGCTGGAGAGGTAAGCAGATTAAGTCTGATTCCCTGTAAGCACTTCTCTTTTAACATCCACCTCTTGGCGCTCTTATGACTTTATGCAGTTGCGAGTGTCGTAAAACCTTACTAAAACTAAATATCTTATCTGCTAGAAATACTCTTTTGTTGTTATTGATTGAATTGTATATTGAGTTGAGTGTGTTGCTTTGTGATGTAGAGAGAAAGCTAAAGTGAAATACAGTGGAGTCCACTTATACCGAAATCTGTGGGACAGCAAAATTTTCTTTGTTTTAGCCGTTCTTTTAGTTTAAAGAGCTTGCTCAATTAGTGACTAGTGAAGAAAAACATCAGGGATTTTATTTTCGTTTGGTTTACTTACTGCTGTTTTTGGATTAATTGTGTTCAGTTTGAGTGGACTACACTGTATGTAGTGAGATTTCTCATGAACTATTAGTGTGTGGGACACGAAAGAATAAAACTTATTGAAAGCTTTAAAAAATGTGTTTCTTTTTGGTTTTATCTATGTAGAACTGATGTGCATAGTTGGTGTGTAGCTAACATTAATAAGCCTAATTTTAATTGATCCACACTTGGAATTTGCAGATTCAATAGGGTTGGGGAATCTGGATTTCACTCGTCCTTCCTGGAGTTACTGTTATCCATCTCCTGCTAGCGTTTTGTCAGGTGACTGAGAACTTTCCTTTCAAAGTGACTCATTTTGGGTCATTTTTGAGGGGGGTTCTACATTTGGCGTTAGACCTCTCACTGCAAGCCAGTTAAGATAATATGCGAAATTGGAGTCAACTCTTGTATGGTAGAATTATTGCATTTGTCGTCTACATCGTGTCTATGGGTATTTATTTTTATTTTTAACTCTTTAGGGGCGTATCGGACACATTTGTCCGACCAGAAACAGATCAAAGCCAATGTTGCGGCTCATTTTGAACCTACATGCACAAACCAGAAACACGAGATTTAACATTTCACAATATGCATTCTGAATTCTTTTTTTTCACTTTTTAGGGCTCAGAAAAAAAGAAAATAATATATTGTTTAAAATCTAAATGGATAACGAAGTTAGATCTAAGCTTCTTCAAATGTTCGAATAACCAGAGTTTGCGTCTTTAAAGAGTTAAATCCCCGAACCCCCCCCCCCCCAACAGAAACGGCACCCTGTTCTTCATTAAGTCGTTGTAGGCAAGAGAACTAAATGGGAAGTAAACGTCTGTGTCAAACTCGAACCGTGAGTTATTTCCCCTCCATCGTGTGAATATTAATATCCTTGTAAAGGAAACGCACGCGCGCATCGTAAGATAATTAATTGCCCTTTCAACATTATCCTGTACTTAATCACCTGTTAGTCTTTTTGGGTTATACAAATTATGTATATATACATGAATTGATGCACCTTTGAAAGATTCGCTTTGATAATTTTCAAGCACATTTTTGTCATAAATGGAAAAATGAAATGAAACTCATAGTCTGTTCATCCATCCATCCATCCTTCCTTTCACAAAACACACACGCGCGCACACACACACACACACACACACACACACACACACACACACACACACACACACACACACAATTTTTAAAACATAAAAAGTATATTTTCATTCTAGGTAGGCTATAGGCTATAAGCACGACCAGTCCTTTGGCTGTGGGTGGTTAGCGGGTGCTTTGATGTGGTTTGCTTCTTCTTTCCAATCAAACATCTATCGTCCTTTTCTCCCCTTCTTCTTTTTTATGTTTGTTACTCTCTTGTAACACCTCTAATCTTCTGGCGCTCATACTCATATGACCTTATGTTGTTGCGAGTGCCGTAACACCTTTACTAAAACTAAACTAAACAGTCCTTTGACATCCTCCTGTACTGTGTTGAGTAAAGAAAAGCGTAGTGTGCTCTTGATTTGCCTTTTGTCTTTCCACCCAAGCTCACTGCCGTTCGAATAGCCTATACGTTGTACACTGGATGACTAGCATCTGTGGTGTAGTGGTTAGGCGCTCCGCCGCGGCATGCAAAAGACCTGAGTTAGATTCTCGTGCAAGGAAGAATTCGTGTTGCGCGTCTGTCTTTCTGCTGGGATGTTGCGCACATTCACTCAGCTCATGGTGGTCCTGACTGAAAGGCTGGGTTGGAGCCCGCTATATTGTCTGAATTGTGTCGATAGGGGTGCCGATGCAACCATTCTTATAACAAACGTTTCTATGAGTGAGCAAACATTTTACCCCCCAAAAGTTACATTATCATAATAAGGAAGCAAAAAAAAAAAAGGCAAATGAAAACGTATTACATTTACCTCTAGGGTTTTTTTCGTTGTTTTTTTTTTGTTGTTGTTGTTGGGGGAGGGGGGGGGGGTCTCACAAATAAGGATATTGGCATAAAATATTACGTTGAAACAGTAGCATCAGCGAGTAATCCACCAGAAAAAATGCTGCTAAAA